GAACCGGTAAAAATGCATTTGGGACTTGCTTCAGATTCACTAAAGCGAGACATTTAGGCTTCAGTTGATTAATTAAAACTAAGAACTTTTTATCAAAATAGAGGGGGGGAAATTATTACTTATAGTAATACTTTAATCCAATTCTTGGAATTACTTATTCTTATTCATTCGATCATAATAATAATCATAATAATAATAATAATAATAATAATAAAAATCTCGAAAATGTGGCATATGGGAACATCAACAATCCCCGTTGTAGTTGGAGCCCTAGGACTGGTTGGAAAAGATTGCAGTAGTCTAATTGAAGGGATTCCTGGAAGTCCATGCCTCTAGGAGATACAAAAAATTGTTCTGACAAGTACAGCCCACACTTTACGAAGGGCTTTATCTACGTAATTTCTTTTTTTCTTTTTCTTTTTTTTTTTGGCAGTGGAAAGTGTCATGATGCTATTTCTAACCTTAGGTCCCTGGGCGGGACCCGGAAAGAAATATGTAAACGCCAGAAATCAAAGAAAATAATAATGATAATAATAATAATAATAATAATAATAATAATAATAATAATAATACGTTAAGGCGTAGCACACCAACAAAATGATGTTGTGGTACAAATATACAAAGCCTAATAAATATACACCTATCACGACACACAGTCTGATAAGATTACTTGGTTATTTTGTTTACTGGCATATCAATATATTATTGTTTATTTAATGCTCTGTTTGATGTCATAGAGAGAAGGCATGTGCAAGATCTCTGATTGAAAAGGTTATTATCGTGGACACTTCGTATTTGAAAAAGACGTCCCATTTTTATTCATTAAACAGTGTCTATTATGTCTACCGACCTGCGCATAATGAACATATGTAAACATCAAGTGCAGATCAGCTGCAATCTTCAGCTTCCTTTTACTTGCTTCCCTGATAACTACAAATTTCCAAAAATGTAAATGCAACGTCAATCACCATCTTCTTGGATCCCGTTCCTCTTTTGTCCTTTCCTCAATCCTCCCTATAGTCTTTTCTTTCAGTCCCTGTAACCCACTGCGAACTAGTAACATTCCTGCCTTGTTTGGGGTGAAATCATTGAAAGGAAAAAAGCTGTTATTATTTTGACACCATATGACTGTCCCGATGATGAAGAACACAATGAAAAGGATAGGGAAGAGTTCGCTGAGGTAATTCAGTTTCTTGATGACAAGCCTGTCTCTGTCTGCCTATATTTCTGAAATGAGGTATTATGCACACTATTTACATTTGTGTCCTCATCTTTGTCGCCATATTTATTACAACGTTTCGGCCGTTGTACGCTTCGGCCTTCTTCAGGTGGTTGGAATGTCGAACTAAACCCTTTATTTCGCTCACTGGGGTAGACTGTTCTAGTTCCACGTGCCATGTTTGATGGAAGTCAGTTATCAGTTATCTCCTGTTAATTCTCATCTGAATGTTCTCCACTGCCTTAACCGGGTATTGAACTCACACTCTTTGGGTCCTGTCACTGGATCTAACTAACGCCTTTATCCACTGTGTCATGTGTCCTTGAGAACATCAAGGTATGTGTATGAATTTCTAGGTATTATAAACCTAATGTCTTCAGCAATCATTTTATGTTTTTACCAGAACTCATATTGCAATTTTTGTTGTTATTGCTTTTCTCTGTCACTCCTTATTACTGGTTCCCATATTGTATTTATTTCTATGCTTGGTCGACTCAGGAGGTTTTTTTTGTGGCCTAGCATATGTGCTGATTCCTTAAGTTTACGAATTTTCTGTCTCTATTCCTTTTTAATCATTTCACCCCAAGCAAGGCAATAACGCGGCTAAGACGCAAGGGTCTACTGGAAGGGAAACAAAAAGAAAAGGCTTTAGAAAGAACCGGAAACCCAGTAATAGTATAAATTTCAGAGTTTAGGTGGAGACGTCAGAAGTATAGAGTAGATAAGGCGGAGGCATCGGTAGTATAGAATAGATAAGGCGGAGATATCAGAAGTATAAAACATATAAGGCGGAGATGTCAGAAGTATAGAATAGATAAGGCAAAGACATCAGTAGTATTGAGTAGATAAGGCGGAGACATCAGAAGTATAAAATATATAAGGCGGAGACGTCAGAAATATTGAGTAGATAAGGCGGAGACATCAGTAGTACAAAATATATAAGGCGGAGACGTCAGAAATATTGAGTAGATAAAGGCGAAGACATCAGAAGTATACAATATATAAGGCGGAGACGTCAAAAGCGTAGAGTAGATAAGTAAAATTTAGACGGAACCGGAAACCCAATCCTAAGAAGTAAAAAAGAATAAACATCTACTCCTGTTCAAAAGACGGTAGTGGTTTGTGGACAGGATGATAGTCCAACCCTCCATCCGGTTTATGAATAAAGAAATATGTGACTCTATCTACTCCTATTGTGGAGAAAAATAAATGAATAAAAAATGAAAATAAATAAATAGTAAAAAATTCAGAATTCAGGTGGTGACGTCACAAGTATAGAGTTGAAGAAGAATTTAGAAGGAACCGAAAATCCAAACAGGAGACAAGGATAAACCTCTACTCTTGTGTAAAAGACGATACGTGAACATATCTACTCCTATTATGTCAGAGGCAGTCGCTTACATCATTTGAGGCCCGATTTTACACTTGATGGCTTAAGGTACACCTTCCCAGTCAACATCCTGACGCACCTGTCTCTTCTGAAGTTCTGGTGTAACACTGAGTGCAAAGCCTAATTGGTATCTCTTAGGATAAGTTCAGTACATATTAGGTTCACCACTGATCAACTCCTTCTAGTAAAGTGTTTCTTTATTGAAAATACATTCGACTTAAATTAAATTTCCTGAAATGAAACACAAAGAGCATTTCTCTAGGTACTCCTGCGAGGCAGCTCGCTGAAGTTATTTTTTATATGATTTACTGCGTTTTTATTGCAAAGGCTTCAGTTGCTGTTTCTTGTGGGATCTATCTATCATTTTTTTTATTGTTATTATTTTGTTTTCCGTAGAGGATTTGATGTTGATTTCTAGTAAGAGGTTGTTTTTTTGTTTGTTTGTTTTTTTGTTTTTGTTTTTTTCAGATCACCTCTTGAGGTCAGTCATTTTTTTCTTTTCCTTGACAGGGGATATCTAATACTTTGGGAGGCATCATGTATTCCGAGCTGGCTTTTAGTTATGACTCTATTTCCAAAACACATTCCAGTGTCTGCAAGGATGCCACATGTTTTTCATACAACACCCCAATCGTCAAATTACTTACTTTGTGCAGTGTCTTTTCACGGCTCTCTACAATTTCCTGTCCTTTGTAGCGCTCAGTACATTTTCACTTTGTTGCTATCTCCTAATCACTGTTCTGCCAACCATTTATATAATCTCATTCTTCTTCTTCTTCTTCTTCTTCTTCTTCTTCTTCTTCTTTGCCATGTCTTTTCGGGGCGTGGGCGATCATAGTTCTCCACACTTTCCCGTCCTTTGTAAATTTTATCTTTTTGCTATCTTTCATAATCGTTGTTCTGTCAACCATTTACAAAATCTCATTCTACTTCCTTTATGTGCCGTGTCCCTTAAGGGCGTGGGTGATCATGACTCTCCACAATTTCCTCTCTTTTGCAGCTCTTAGTAAAATTTGTCTTCTAGCTATCTCTCCTAATCACTGTTTTGCCAACCATTTACACAATCTCATTCTTCTTCTTCTTCTTCTTCTTCTTCTTCTTCTTCTTCTTCTTCGTCGTCGTCGTCGTCGTCGTCGTCGTTTCTCACATGTACATCCTTGCTATTCTCAGCATCCATCTGTAGAACCACATTCAAATCTCTTCTTTATCTGTGAGGAGATTGTCCAGCATTTACTGCTATATAGGAGGATCGATATTATATAACAATTCAACACTCTTTGTTTCTAACGAAATTTTTCTGTTTCTTAATACTTTGCTTAGTTTTTTGGAGTCATCTTCCGCTATCTCAATGCACCTTCAGTTTTCGGTGTTGCACTTTTTGTTCTCTTTTAAAACACTACCCGGCTATTTAAATTGGTTTTACTTGATTGATTTTGGCATTGCCAAATTGTAAATTGAATGTTGGCCAGTTCATTTTGCTAGCGTCTGCGTATTCTGTATTCTTGCAATTGATAATTAGTCCTTTCTTCTCGCTTTCCTATACGGCCTTCTTTGGAAGTTCTTGTAGTTTCTTTTCCTTGTTTGCTATCAACACTGTGTCATCTGCATATCTCATATTCTTAAGATTATGGCCACTAATAATGAATCCTGGTTGGACTTTTAATTCTCTCAGAATTGCCTCACTGTACAGGTTCAATAAGTCCGGCGAGAAGACACATCCTTGTCTTACATTCCTTTCTATTTTGGTATATTTACTGAATTCATTTTCTGTCCGTATGCAGGCGGTTTGCTACCAGTATAGGTTCTGGCTTATTCTTAGATCCTTCACAATTATAGAAAGATTCACTCGTAGTTCCAACATCTACTTTTTGACGTACTTTATCAAACGCTAAATTTCATATTTTAATTATTGTATCTTTCCTTTCGTTTCAATTCTCATATCAAATGGACAAGGGGCTGTTATCGGGCAGCAAATCTTTATTTGTCCAACAGGACCACATCGCCCTTTGTTTCACTATCTTTATTATCTCTCTGTCTGTCTCTTTCTTCTCTTGTCCATTTTTCTCTCTTCTCTCTCTCTCTCTCTGATCATTTCATTATCTTTTCTCTCTCTCTCTCTTTGTGTCTATTTCTCTGTTAGTTTCATAATCTTCTCTCTCTTGCTGTGTATTTCTCTATCATCTTTCACTCTTTCTCTCACTTTCTCTCTCTCTATTTCTATTTTTCTGCCTTTTCTTCTTCTTCTTCTTCTTCTTCTTCTTCTTCTTCCTCTTCTTCTGCTTCTCTGTCCATTTCTCTGTTTTCTCTCTACCCATTTCGCGCTCTTTTTCTCTTTCCGTTTCTCTATCTGTCTATTTCTCTATCTCATTACTCACCTGTCAATTTCCATAGCTTCTCTCTCTATCTATCTCTATCTCTCTATCTATCTATCTATCTATCTATCTATCTATCTATCTATCTATCTATCTATCTCAGTTCATTTCTCTCTCTCTTTCTCTCTATCCATTTCCTACTCTACTTCCCCTCTTTCTCTCTTTATTTCTCTCTCTCTCTCTCTTTCTCAATCTGTCCATTTCTCTTACTCTTTCTCCTTACTCCCCTGTCAAATTTCTTCAGCTTCTAGTGTCTCTGTCTCTTTGTCTATCTCTCTGTTCCATTAAACCAGTTGCTCTATGTCTACTACTCTCTTCTTTCTCTCAATTTCTCCTTTTTCCCCATCTTTCTCTCGACGTTATTTCCACTGAGCCCCTCTGGACCAAACTCCACATCCATTTATCAATTGCCTTGGTATTTAAGACGCTAAAACCAAATGCGGCTCATTAACAGATTAATCTACAACATCCATAAGAGAATCAATAAATCCGTTGAGTAATAAAGAAAGAAAGAAAATAAGAATAAGGATTCTTTTTGTTTAGCGTATTTGACGACACATAAGGCGAACTTTTGACGACACATAAGGCGAACTTTTGACGGCACATAAGGCGAACTTTTTTTTTTTTTCTTTTTTTTTTTTACTAAAAATATCTTTTAAAATTGCCCGGCGTCTTATATGCCATATGTAGTTTTAAAATTCACGCTAGTCGGCCGAAATTATTTAACAACGACGAAAAATAAGTATCAGAGTTTTGATAACGAAGACGACGAATTTTATGGATTTGAAGATGAATAAAATTTTAATTGTAACTTTACTGTTTTGCTCAATTGTAATAATTGCTTGATTTTTAGTTTGTTTTCTTACCTTTCGATATAATAAATTTTTTATAGGTTCGTGTTTTTTTTTATTATTATTTTTTGTTTAATTGTAATCATGGCTTGTTTGACCAAAATAATACTTCATAAATATAACCCAGCTTGTACCATTTAGTAATAATTTTGATTTGCCCTGCTGAAACTGGGGTGCGTCTTATACATCCGTGCGTCAAATACGGTGATTTCATAACCTTCTTTCTCTTGCTGTCCATTTCTCTAGCATCTTTCACTTTCACTCTCTACAGTGGGCTATGATAAGTTTTTAGCCACCCTTGATTACAGCAATTTTGACTTGTGTAATAACGTCTCTTTTTTTTCAGACAATACCGTGTTAGTATCAAGCTATTCTCATCTATGAACGATAGTTGACTTATATTTTGCAATGAAAGTTCATGGGAGGAAGGAAATTAGTGAATTTCAACGATGACAAATAATAGGATGGCATTAGTGTGGCAAGTCAAATAGAGAAATTGCTAAGTTTTTCCAGGTTAATCATTAAACGGTTAATAATATTGTTAAGAAATTTAATGAAGAACGCCATTGTCGTGTGGAACAACGTTCAGGAAGATCAAGCATCGTGTCTGAGCGAACGAAAACGGCACTGAAGAAGGATGTCATCAGAAACCGTCGTCAGAGCGTCGAAGATGTCGCCAACAGCCTGGAACTGTCGCCATATGCTGCCAGAAAGACTCTAAAAGAGCTAGGTTATCAAAGAAGAGTTGCAAGAAAGAAGCCTTTGACTTCAGAGGTTAACAGGAACAGGCGTATACACCGGACGAGAGAATTCGAGAGTAAAGATTATGAATTTTGGCAGTCTGTAATTTGGTCAGATGAAAGTAAATTCTGCCAATATTCGAATTCGTGATAGGTTTGTGTTTGGAGAAATCAGAATGAAACTTGGAACACTGAATGTCTTCAGGCGAACGTAAAACATGGAGGGATTGGAGTAATGGTGTGGGGCGCTATCTGGTTTGGAGGGAAATCTGAACTGATTGTTGTTGACGAGCAATTGAATGGTCCAAAAATATTAGAGAAAGGACTACTCCCACTATTTGAAACCAATCAGATTGACAGGAATGTCTATCTTTTTCAAGAAGATGGAGCGCCATGTCATATGAGTAAAGTAGCAAAGGCCTGAAAGGAACCGCAAGGAATCAAATCACTGCCATGGGTAGCTCAAAATCCTGACATGAATCCAACAGAGTACGTTTGGGAGCACATTGACCGAAGACTTCGAGAGGGTGCAACCAAAATCCCGTCAGTGGCAACCCTTAAAGAAACATTGCTAAAGGAGTGGGAAAATATGGGTCAGGTGATTGTTGATAACTTGATCAAAACCATGAAAAATCGAATACAAGAACTGAAACTAAAAAATGGAGGACCTACTCTATACTAATTCCAAATATTGTTTATGTTGAATAGGGATTACGTAATTAAATTTTAAAATTGGATATAGTTTATTTCTTCAGGCTAAAAACATTTCTTAGGCCATTTTATGTCCGTTTCTCACTCTTTCTTCTTCTTCTTCTTCTTCTTCTTCTTCTTCTTCTTCTTCTTCTTCTTCCTCGCTCTGTCCATTTCTCTCTCTCTCTCTTTCTCTCTATCCATTTTGCACTCTTCTTTCTCTCTTTCCGTCTTTATCTCTCTCTTTCTCTCTCTCTCTGTCCATTTCTCTTACTATTTCTCCTTACTCACCTGTCAATTTCTTTAGCTTCTCTCTCTCTATCTCTTTCTGACTCTCTCTCTCTCTCTCTCTCCATCTCTCTCTTTTTCTCTCTATCAATTTCTCACTCTTCTTTCTTTCTGTCTTTATTTCTCTCTCTCTCTCTCTCTTCATTTCTCTCTTTTTCTCTCTATCAATTTCGCACTCTTCTTTCTCTTCTCTCTCTCTCTCTCTCTCTCTCTCTCTCTCAGTGCACGTAATTCCCTGATGACCATGTAGGTACATCATTAAATCCGTAACCTCATATTGAAAAAAGCATTTATATTTCATAGCAAGTATTTCTTTTTTCAACATAATCTTTTTTACTTATCATTATTTACACTATTTACATACTATTGTCTTCATCTTTGTTATTGTTATCACAAGGTTTCTGACGTTGCATCTTCCGGCCTTCATCAGGTATATGTCGATCCAGGTAACCTACATGGAATTCGACAGAACTCTTTCTCATTCCACTGCCCATGTTTAGGAATATCTCGTTTCATATTGCTCAGTTATTGCACAACCTGTTTCCAATATTTTCCCGGTCTAGGGATTGAACTCATAATTTCTGTGTCACCAAATTTACGAAGCAACGCTTTAATCCACTAGTCTACTATGGAGAATTTGAAGCGTTAAGCCTAACTGAGAACAGTCTACAACTGATAACGACCGGAGGGTAAAACGGCCGAAACGCTGTGATAACTACAACAAAGATGAGGATAATAGTACGCATGTAAATTAAGTAAATAAGAATTTCCTTCCTTGTCAAAGAACATAAGTGAATGGACGCCGCATTATACAGAGAAAATTTCAGATCAAAATTCTACATCCAGCAGCTAAGCCTCTGATCGGGAGATTGGACTTTTTAGGAGCGTGGAGCCACCTCTTAAGTGCTGTTGTTCCCAGGTCCATCCTGACCCAGAGTGGTAGCACCTGTTGAGGTCCCAGTTATGTTCAAATAGTGAACCTCCAAACAAAAACAAAACACTATGAAAGTATAAAAAATATATATACATATATATATATAAAAATTACCAGCAATACCTATTTATAGTAAAATTACCAACCTTAGAATTTTAAAGCCAAATGACCAACTATACATTTTTTAGTAGAATTACCAACAATACATTTTGTCTGTAATTGAAGGCATACAATTATATTCAGAATATATTTAGTTGAGGCCATAAAATTATGTTCAAAATATTTACATTTTGACATTAAATAACCCATAGAGATGTTGATATGCCGTCAAACAAAATCAACCAACCAAATCAGATTAAAATTCCGTTAATAGCCGTTAAAGACTACAGACTTACTGATCCATCCTCACAATCCACACGGATTATATGCATACATATATACATATTTTATGACGTCATCACAGAATGAACTGTGCCTAACATTCGGGAGACAAAGAAATTGTTCTCTTCAGTAGAGATTGAACCTGCGTCCTTCTTTTTAGGGGGAGACAACTGTCCGATTTGTCGTGCATTCGACCGCTTGGACAAAGAGACCCAACCCAATGAGGTATAAATACTGTTTAAAAAAATGCATATCCTTTTGTTTAGATCTTCTCCAAAAATCATAGATGCTGACATTTTGTTTTTTTCTTATCCGAAAAGAATTACTTTTTAAAAAATCGATGGATTTAATTTTTTATCAGTGTTTCTTATGACTCGAAACGTTTGCTGGACTGAGTGACTCCCTGGGGTTGAATTTATTTCACCGTTCTGAACAAAAGCACATTACAATGCTGGATATTTTTAAAAGACCGCAATAAAAGCAGTAAGGAAGACGGTAGAAAGTTGAATGAAGTCTGCGAGGTTGTGTATTTCAATACATCGAACGCCAGAAAATTAAAATTTAAAATTAAATGCACCCTTGCATCTTTATCGATTTCTCAAGAATACAATTACAACCAACATTGGTCATATATATATATATATATATATATATATATATATATATATATATATATATATAAGCAGCCTTACCCAGTTGGTCGATCAGAAAAAGCGTTCAATTATTTTGAAGTACTTTCATTAAAACACATTTTGAATTAATGCAGTTACTGATATTACAGAAGTAGTCTGTATTTATTCAATCGAAGTTAGCTGAGGACATGGACGGGTAAAACAGGCAACATGAAGACCCACTTCAGACCACAATTATTTTGGAGTTTTTGAAATTCAATTTGTTAGTGTGCTACCAGGGATGTAAAAGACGATACATTTATAAAGCAAGTTTGATGAAAATTGGTTGAAGATCATCGTAAGATAAGAGACCAGTAAAAATCGCCATTTTCCACTATTTACGCAAGTTTTCACCTGTGTACAAAAAAAAAACAACATGATCATGCAGTACAAAAACCTGAAATTTTTTTTTATAAACTTGGTCAAAAGATTTTTTGTCGTATGTGCCAGTCAAATAAAACATATTTGGAAGTCGGAACTGTCGTCCGACGAATTGGCAGGATAGTGTATCTAGTAAAATGTCCTGAAATGGTGTGCAAGAGGCCCTAGAATCAAATTAAAAGTAGGTATTCAACTGAAGAGAACACTACTCTAGACAAGGTTGAACCTATGGAGGTTCTTTTTGATACTTTCGATGTACCGATTCCACAGAAATCTCCGGAAATAGAAATCCGAAAGAGTAAAAGAAAAACAAAGGATGTGGAAAGGATCGAAGTCAACACCAAAAGAAAAAAATATTGAATCTGTAGAGAGTAAATTCAAAAAAGGGTGGTTTTATAGCATACCCAAGGATGATAATGGGTATGTCCACATTCACATAAATACAGTAGTAAATATCGTATGTTGGTCTGTAGTTGGAGATTCATTATAGAATTCACTTGACTCGCTTCTAGCAGTTAACTACTTCATCTACGCGCTGCTGGCGAATCTTATATGTGTTGTTCGTGCCCTAAGTATCAGTAACCTTCGATAGGTTATAACAATATATATACTGTATTTTAGAAAATTACATCAAAACATGTAAAAAACGCAGCACAAAAGGAATCATGTTTAATACATCCTATCAGGCGTTAGTAAATAACTGGTGAGTAGACAATTTATTGAGATTAAAACAGTCTCATTATACATGTATATATATATATATCTGTGTGTGTGTAAAGTGTGCAGTTAATAAGGTCCTTATATTCCAATTGTTGTCAGATAGAAGACACATGCCAAATACTTTCGACTATTTCAAATTGTCATATTCAGGTTTACACATATTTTGTCTTAGTGTTTCCCTATATATGGGAAAATTGTACCCTGAAGATGACAATTTGAAATTGTCGAAAGTACTTGACATATGCCTTCCATCTGACAACGACTTGAAAAGGATCTTATTATTCAAAGAATTAGTAGTAAGTTAATATAAGTCCTGTTAGCCATTTCAGCATTAATCAAATTAACATTGCTATTTAATTCTTTGTATAAATTGTTTCTTTATGACATATATATATATATATATATATATATATATATATATATATGATAAAATAGTTTTACCGTATGCTATATTCATGGGTCAAAGTGTTCAATATCAGGGATAGAGCGTATGTAGATATAAAAGTAGATATTGAAGTCAACACCCAAAGATGACAGTCTATTTCATGCTCATACGCAAACTTCAAACAAACGTATATATATATATATATATATATATATATTTGTCCAAATGGTGTAAGAGCATGATTGTCCATTCCACAAAAAGTTTAATATCTAAAGACACTAATGTAACTGAGTTTCTTTTTCCCGGGTTTTCATATAAGACATTTAGCCATCTTGGCACCATTTGTCGTAAGTGTCACTGAAAAACCCTTTTGAATTATTCAGCTAAAAATAGAACAGGTTAAAATCGTTTTGTGTCAACTCCCAACTGAGCAATGGTGAGAGGAAAAAGATCATTCAGGCCTTTAGTAATGGTACCAACATTCATAACTTCCAGTTCAAATTCCATTCAAGAACCATCAAAAGAATGATGAACAAGTTTAAAAAAGAGGGGACAATAGAGAGGAAAATTAGACCAGGCGGTCACAGCAGGAAGGGTGATCATCATTTCAACTTAGAGCTAAAGAGATTATAAAAACATCCAACTCAATCCATAAGACGTTTGGCATGGGAGAGAAAAGTTTCACTTATGACAGTCTAAAGAGCGGTGAAAAAAGAGCTGAAAATGAAATCGTACGTGAAACCTGTGAAGCAGCTTGTTACTCCAGGACCGAAAGTTAGAAGGTTAGAGAGGGCAAAGATCATCTTGAATAAGTCGGAAATAATATATATATATATATTTAGACTTTATTTCAATACCTTATGAACTTCCAATCCTTAGCTCTGATTAATTAATGATGAACGTCATTTTCGTTTATGATCGATTTCATTAAGGTCATTCTGTTAAGCTTGGAGAGTAATTATACATTCTTATTGCTATAATCCAATTCTGTTATAAAAATCTCGGGGAATTCCAGTAAGATATCTTTAATCATTTTTAAGTTACAACGGTTCAAATCTTAATCTAACAAATGGGCACTTTTGCTGTTACACGATTTGAACAATTTTGCTGTCACACCCGCTATATATATATATATATATATATATATATATGTGTGTGTGTGTGTGTGTGTGTGTGTGTGTGTGTGTGTGTGAAAGTTTCGTTTTAGCGCCAGAGTATCAGGCGCCAGACTTTTGGGCGCTAGCAAAAAATGTTAATTGATTCATCATTGAAATGTAAAATTTTGAAAGTTTTAAAACTGTAAAGTAGCTTTATTTAGTTCATTTAGTCATCGAGTACACGATAGAATCCATGTTTTCAAATCCAAGAACTGTTTTACATATTCTGCTATCTGTAACTCGGCTTTCCAAGCCTTCAAAAGTCTGGTGCCTGAAGGTCTGGTGCCAAATCAGCTGGTACACAAATGGCCGTGCCGAAACATACCGTAAAAGTTTTTTTTTCCATTTTGTTATTCAATTACCCACCATATATATATATATATATATATATATATATATATATATATATATATATATGGATTAATATAAGTAAAATTTGTCACTTAGCTCATTGATGTTACCTTTAGTATCGCGACTCCAGAGTTTCGTAGACGGACCTGTCCGTCCACTCTTCAGGAGGGTATCAGCAATTCACTGCTTTATTTTCTTGATTTTTTTCTTTATATATGGATCTGGCTCAATTTTACTGAATCTTGTCTAGT